CTCTTCTCCATGATGCTGGGCTCAGGCATGCCAGAGCTGCAGTCCTTTGATGACATCGCTTACATCCGAAAGACCCTGGCGCTGGACAAAACAGAGCAGGAGGCTCTAGACTATTTCATGAAGCAAATGAATGACGCTCACCATGGTGGATGGACCACAAAGATGGACTGGATCTTTCACACCATCCGACACCATGCCCAAAACTGAGCCCACACAGATCCCAGCCCACTGGTGGAATTTGGGGCCGGATAACAGGCAGAAACAAGACCCTTTTTGTAGGACGCACTGCCTGATTTATGCCATGGAGAATCATAGCACCCAAACCTCATGTACAAATGACCTTCAGAGCACTAAAACAACCTGGAAGGACATCTTTTTGTGTCCTCTTGTTTATTATTCTTTTCCCCGTGTGAGGCATCTCTTGCCCATCATCGTCCGGAGTGGTTGTATGTTATAGCTGTAGTTTTGTCCAAGTTTTTTTTTTTCTCTCCACATTGTGCTGCTCTTTACCTGGAGAGTCAATTCTTCTTCTTATTATTAATATATAAAAAAAATTTCTGTGGAAAACAAACCATTGAAGACAAAAAAAAAAAAAGTTCTGCACTCTTCAGGAGCTTTTGTGGGGATGTTCATGTCTTCCTGTTTAAAACTACAAATGCCTTCTAATATGCACGGAACCTCGGAGAACACTAGAAAAACAGGGTATGAAACTTTCTGGTCTGCTACCTGGCCTTTCCTCTCAAAACCATCGATTATGTTTTTCCAGTTCCAGTGTGCAAAACATGACAGGAATCCAGGTTATCTGCTTTCTGTTTTCTCTGTTGTCCGTTGCGATTGAGCAGGGCAGAGTAACGATTGTCCTACCAGATGCCCTGGCAGCGTGCAGATATGAAGCCTTAATACACTCGCATAGTATGAATTGATAGTCTTCTTCATGTGCCCTTGCATGCCACAGGAAAGCAAACACTTGTCGGTGCATTGACGCAGAGCAGTTACGAAAGAACAAAATAGCATTTTCTCCCCTTCAGTTGAGTAGCTGTATCTCTGGGTACTTTATTTTACTACACTAAAGCTGGCAAGACCTTACCTGTTAGCCTGACTTTTTTTTACAGATACAACTCGTAGTTTGTGTGTGAAGCATTAAAGGGATAGTCCACCAAAAAATGACAGTTCTTTCGTTATTTATTGTAAACGTTGATAACTAAAACCGTTTCGGTTCTTATTGATTTTCATAGAATAGGCAAAAAAACAAACAAACAATGGAAACTGAAACGGATTATCAACATTCTGCAAAATATCTTGTGTGAATAAAGTCTGTCATACAGGTTTTGAACGACATAAGGGTTATTTTGGGGTTGACTATTTCTTTAAGAAAGATGGTGCTATGTAGTTAAACATGTTGAAAGATTCTATAGACGAAATGGATGTTTTAGATGGTGAAATGGCTTTTAGATGCTTCAAATGGATGACACTGGTAAAATATCATTTACCGATGACACTACAGTACAGTGCATTATAATAACTACAGATACATTTATATACATACATGCATATATATATATAAAGTGTGTGTATATATATATATATATAATCTATGTGTGTATATATATGCATTCTGTTCCCCCTCATTGTCTCTTTTTTTTTCATTAGTGCAGACAATGTACAGTGAATGTTTCATGGTGCAGGATGTCTCGAATGTGGCGTTACAGGGCTGAGCAAACTAGAGAAAAAAAAAAATAAAGGTAGTTATCTTTTATTTTGACATTTTCAAATTAACTAACTAATGATCGCCCTTTTGAGTCAGGTTAAGTGCCTTGCTTGGGGCCGTAATGGCAGTGTTACGTTCGAACTGCTCCCTTCCCTTGGATTAGCAGCTTTCTGGATCTCTTTAAAAGGTCCAGTCCAACCAAATAATCACACATTTGAAATGGATGTTTTAGATGGTGAAATGGCTTTTAGATGCTTCAAATAGATGACACTGGTAAAATATCATTTACCGATGACACTACAGTACAGTGCATTATAATAACTACAGATACATTTATATACATACATGCATATATATATATAAAGTGTGTGTATATATATATATATATAATCTATGTGTGTATATATATGCATTCTGTTCCCCCTCATTGTCTCTTTTTTTTTCATTAGTGCAGACAATGTACAGTGAATGTTTCATGGTGCAGGATGTCTCGAATGTGGCGTTACAGGGCTGAGCAAACTAGAGAAAAAAAAAAATAAAGGTAGTTATCTTTTATTTTGACATTTTCAAATTAACTAACTAATGATCGCCCTTTTGAGTCAGGTTAAGTGCCTTGCTTGGGGCCGTAATGGCAGTGTTACGTTCGAACTGCTCCCTTCCCTTGGATTAGCAGCTTTCTGGATCTCTTTAAAAGGTCCAGTCCAACCAAATAATCACACATTTAAAGGGATAGTTCACCCAAAAAAGGGATAGTCTTTCTTTTTTTCTGCAGAACACTAAAGAAGATATTTTGAAGAACCAAATTGACTTGAATTAAAAAACAGACATTTTTAAAAATATATTTCATGTTTAGAGCGACATGACGGTGAGGCAATTTTCTTTTTAGGGTGAACTATCTCATTGGACACAGATCCAGATTTTCTCTTTCTATGTCTCCTCGGCTCTTGTCGGTAAATCCAAGGCCCTGTCGTGTTTCTGCATTACTTTAAAGCTGTGAAAATGTACATTTACTAATGAGGTGCAATCGTGCTATTTAAATGGATATATGGCTACTGGCAGGAAACCCCTGAGTACTATTTTTCTCACCGTTTTATGTACGTTGTGTTTTCCTCAAAAGGAACGTCAGTGATCATACTTGCATAACCACTTGAGATATTAACGCTCAGATGAAAATGTGATTGATCTACGTAGGAAAAACTGAAGGAAACAACACATGCTCATTTCCATGTTACAGTCTGACGAGGTCTTTGCAGAGCTGAAATTCTGCTTAAATACTTGGCAACATCTAACAATGCAAATCACAATGAACAACAGTTTGTTTTTCTACTGTTTTTAAGTTTAAAATGGCGTCCTGAGTACTTACTATTGTAGTGTTCCACATTTAAGCATTTCCTTTTTTTTTTGTAAACGTTGTAACTCTTATATGCAGTAAACAAATGAACAGATATACACTTGGTGTCAGACTGATGTATGCAGGTGGTTCTTGCACTTTGTATTCCTCCGTACTTTGTTCTTTCTCTCCTTGCCTTCGGTCCTGAGGGACGCTTTAGTCTCCTGCATGCGTTTTTAACCCTACGTGCTCATTTACTGCCTAAAACTGAGATCAGCTACGTTAGAGCTTAGTCATGGCAAGCAGCCTTATGTTAGCTCTCTTAAAGCCATTTAATGCATGGTTCTGTTCACTACGTGTGTTTTTGTCTGTACAGGTTACAGATCTACTTGGGCTGGACCCGCTAAAAAGCCCATTCACAAACGTCTAATGTAATCAGTAGCTTTCTACTTTACTTTTTAATCATTTTAAATAACTTGCAAACAAACTATTGAGATGCAGAAATTCTGGAGTCTTTTGTATGACAAAGGAAAATTAGAAAAAAAGGAGTTAAACGACAAAAAATGTTTAATAAGTTTCAATTGTTGTACTTGAAAATCATCGCTCGGAACCGTCTTTGTGTCCTGACTACAAAGCAGTCAATGTTACACAGCACTGAAGGTTTACTTGCATAGGCAATTTCATACCGATTGTGAATGTTTCAATGGTTTGGTCTGGAGTCTCTTTACAGTTAAGACACTCTACTACACCAATAAAAAGAGAGAAAAATTACCATTAAATTCAAAGAAAAATAAAGTATAAATTTGTTTGCTATTATGTGAAGTCTAAAATCTATTTAATGGAAGGTCAAAGCAATTTTTTTTTGTTTGTTTTTAAAATGCTTTGAGTGGTTACATTTCTCTCTGTAGTGCTGTTGCATTTTACTCATTTATGTGTTGAATTATGATGTCATAAAGATAATTTTCTTTACTATCACTATTATAGAATTATATATAATGGGCCAAATACTTTCTTTACCTCTTTACTTCCTTGCATGAGATTAAAAAAAAAAGGAAAAGAAAAAATGGAAAAAAGAGAAAAGTTTTTTTGTAGGTGTAAAGGATTTTTCGGCCTATGACTGCACCCATCACATCTATAAACTGCCATCAGTTACAAAGCCTCATCTTCATTTCTATTCAATTTCATTGTGCACCTCAGTTCAAAAGTAGCTTTGTATCCAGTCTGTCTTCAATATTTTGAGTGTTATGTTACTATGTACAAATAAACGTATTTCAAGAAAATTTTCATGAATCTTGACTAATTATATTCATGTTCATGTATGTGAATGACTTTGACATGGACTGTTTCCACTCACGTAGTAACTAAACTAGGAAAGTTTGAGATAAGCTTGATGTACGCTTGACAAATCCTTGCCTAGAAGTAAAAAAAAGCTGATGGTGACTGAAACAACAGGCCAGATAAAGATTTCGCTTGATCTGTCACACATTTAACTTCCAAGTAACTGATTAGTGGCATAGAAATATGTATTAAGAATCTTTTATATATAGGAATATGTTATATATTTAAAAATAAATTGAGAATATATAAATTAGATTGTAAATCCTTGATTTTCCAAAGTGATCTCATACTATATAAGTAATCTGTGTGTGTGTGTAATATTTTTGTTTAAATAACAGTAAAAATTATTTTGTTAAATTATATGAAAAATAATCGGTGTGTGTGTATAATATGTATTTTATATTTTCATCAAAATGTCATCCATAATGAAATGGAAATAAAATAAATCTCATACATTTAAATTTGATGAACAAATCAACATAAAAAAACCGTGTCTATTCTCTGTTTGTTTGAAAAAGTTTCCTTTCTTATTTGATCTATGGCGCACTTTAAAACAGAGAAATAAAAAAAAGTTTGATGTACCACGTGATTGCGAGTCTTTTATTATGAACTATTGAACTTCCGGTGATGTACGACGCGCAAGTGTTTAGATGTCTCGTGTCTACACGTCTTCTGTCTTTACAAGTTCATTTTTCCCTTCATTCTTTGGTGATTCGCTGCTACACAGTTTGCACTCCGCAGAAGTGAAGGTGTCTGATGTTGTCGCGCGTTGCTGAATGCGTCACGTGACGGCGGTAAGTACCATCGTGTGCAGTAACATGCCATCCTGCAGCAAGATAAATGCGTGGATATGGATATGCATACTTAAATATCCTCTGCTGCTGACATGCATTGGAGCTGACACCTTTGAAGGTTTATTGTTAGAAGTTATCATTTGACCTGAATTATTTTTAAATGGACGGTTCACCAAAAATAATGTTCTTTCGGACTGACGAAAACGCACCATAAAATGTTAATGAAATTTGTCTATGTAACATATCGCTATATATTATAAGTCATATGACAGATTTGTGTAATAAACAGCCCTTATCCTCTTTGCTGTGCCTCTCAAAACAAATATAATGCGTTAGATTGATCTTTGTAAAATGTCACTGATTAATTCCTGTTTCTTGCACTCAAGGTGTGATTGGAGATTAAGAAAGAAAGGGCATCCTGCCCTATTTTGTGCATGTAGAAGAGGATCCATGGGTGTCCTGCGGGTGCTGTCGGTCACCATGGGAAGGATCAGCACTTTTAGGTCCTATCAGATCATGCTGCTCTTTGCTGCAGCCCTGGCAGTGGTGGCCTTCTACTACTTTGGCTCTGAAAAGCAGAACTTCTCCAGCACCACAAAACGGATCAAGGAAACACAAGCGAGCCACAACAGCAATCGTGATGATGCAGATCTCTCCATAGACATCCGGTCTGGAAGTCCAGAAAGCAGAACGGGAGCTGGAGATGAGCTGGAGGGAAAGCTGTCACGCTTTCATGCTCTCATGATGTTCACCAAAGTTGACAAGAGCTTGAACTTGCAGCAGAAGTTTCAGGTGGCCATGCGCTCCGTGGCCAAACATGGACGGTTCCTGGAGGATGAGGTGCTGGTTCTCCATTACGTCTCTGATGCTGGAAGTCGGGAGCTGGGGTAGAAGATGCTTCCTGAACTTCTGCTGGATGCAACCTTCCGGTACGAGGTACGTTCAGCAAACCTTCATGTTTTACAATGTGTGCTGATGTTGGATGATGCAGCATTGGCTTCCTTTTAGTTTATATCATGTTTTGATGTTTTTGCAGTAGATTTTGATGATGATAATAAAAAGGGTGAAAAGGGTGTTTCAAGCATCAAAAAAATAAAAGTGTAATACAGCTTTAAATTAAGTTTTTTTTCCGCATAGATTAGAATGTGTCCTCTTTAACTTTATATTTTTCTGAACAAAACATAACAACTATCATGCATTTTTTACCATGATTTACACAAGACACCCACTGAAATGTCATTCAGTGTAACAATATTTATATACCAAAAAAATCTTGTTAGGCATATTTTAAACATGGATCATTTGATGACATATTAAAAGACTATATTTAAGCATCACAGTGCAGCCCTCAAATACAAATTAACTTTAAA